TGCAATTGGGATGGAAAATGTGCATGCATCTGTTGGTGGTAGTGGTAGTGCCAGCCGTGAGGCACCAGCAGTGGGCCATGCTGCCACCCACGCCGCTGACTCAGCTGAACTACAACAAAGGCCACCATCTCCCACCCACCCACCACACCAACCTCCACAACCACAGCCACCTGTCAGTATCCAGTACCCACCAGCAGACTGCACCTGGGATTGGCAGGAAGCTGCCAATTTTGTTCCCAATCCCCATCACTTTGATGAAAATCAAAGTGGAATACGGCCATCTTGTACACTTGGGAACAATGCCACTGAACTGGAATGTTTCGAGTTATTCTTAACAAACCCCTAATGGAAATTATTGTCAGGGAAAGCAACAGATGCTTCGATTACACCATGGCAAACACAATCCTTTCACCAAAATCACGCCTACGCCATTGGAAGGAGACAACTGTGGCTGAGTTGCATCTTTTTGTTTGCCACAATAATGCTTATGCCACATGTGTATAAGCACAGTGTCAAATCATACTGGTCAACAGACCATCTGATTGCAACCCCAGGTTTCAGTGATATAATAGGAGTGAATCGATTTGTGCTACTATTACGTATGCTTCACTTCTCGGACAAAACCAGGCCTGTCAGAAACGACAGGTTATTTAAGATTAGGAATGTGTTTGTGTATCTGAAACAGAATTCATTATGTATTTTTATCCCTTCAGGAAGCTTGTTATTGACGAGTCTTCAGTTCTGTTCAAAGGAAGACTGTCATTCAAGCAGTATATACCAAGCAAGAGGAAACGCTTTGGTATAAAGTTGTTTGTGCTTTGTGATTGCTACAGTGGTCTTGTATTGGATATAATTGTGTACACTAGAAGTAATACACTGCGACATACCAGGAAGTTACTGGGTATCTCTGGTGATGTGGTTAGAACAATGATGGTACCATATCTTGGCAAGGGGCATATATTATATACTGATAACTGGTACACAAGCCCCTTACTCAGTGATTTCTTGCGAGTGAACATGACAAATGTGTGTGGCACAGTGCGTGGAAATCATAAACATATGCCCAGGTTCAACGCTGGCACTCGTAGAGGTGAGGTGCAGGCGTTTGCTGCCAATGACATCATGGCATTTCGGTGGCATGACAAACGAGATGTCACACCGTTGTCATCAGTTTACCCTAACGAAATGGCAGACACTGGCATGCAGCATAGAGAGAACAATGAACCCATTCTAAAACCTGCAGCTGTGATGGACTACACCCTCAATATGCATTCACTGGACAAATGTGACATGCAGACTGGGTTTGCTGATTGTGTTTGCAAGAGTTGTAAGTGGTACATATGAGATGAGGACCAAAAACAAACCACCATATGGTGAATTTTGTTTGTCTGTCATCAGACAAATAATAATCAAGTACCAAGGAACAACACCTGCAACAGAAAACCGCCCATGAAATTATCAACAACTATCTTCTCGTTTGAAGCCTGGTAATCACTTCCTAATGAAACTGCTTGCTACTGCTTTCAAGAAAAAGGCTCTGAAGAGGTGTTACGTCTCTGCACATACAAAAAAAATGCCCACAACAACGCAGAGACACTCATTTCATATGTGAGGAGTGTGAAACACCATTGTGCATGACACCGTGTTTCAAAGACTTCCACAGGCTGCAGAACTTCTAAGAACATGTCCAGTGACTGTATATATATAATATAGAAAAATTGTAATAAACATTTTACTTTGTTTGTGTAAACATGTTTTGTAAAAATATAATGACAACAGTGTTTGTGCAGTGATTGTGTAGTACAGAAAGAGTGAATATTTACAAAATAGTCCTCATGTTGGTCTCACAGGACATAAAAGTTACTTGAAAGATAAAAATATTAAAAAATAATAGAAAAAGGTAGAAAAAACAAAATAAATGATTATCGGGTGACTGGCAGTCGGCGATGTTGCCGTATGAGGTTCAATTTCTGTCAACTTCACGCCTCCATATCTCGGTAAGTATTGATGGTAAAAAAATTTTTTAGCCTATAAAATTAAAAAAAAAAAAAAAAAAACTATCTTTCGAATATTTTCCAACCCTGAGAACAAGTTTGGGAGAGGGCCTGTTGACCCTGCAGGGGTTAAAATAAGACATTTAATGTGCCCAAGAATGATTATTACGTACTATTAGTATTACTATGGTGTTAAGACTAGAAGGACACTGAGTGAACGAGTAACAGAGGCATATTTATATGCTATGTAATGTGTTTCTTATATAATTTTGAAAAAAATATCGTAGTTGGATTAATGAAAATGTCTATATTAAAATAAGACATTTAATGTGCCCAAGATTGAGTCATGAGCGTATGAGCAACCCAAGGGGACGCGTCTGATATGGATGATTTTTGGGACGACGTACGAAATCCAGAGCAAAATTTTGCCGAAAAAAGTGGTTGAAATCTGACTCATACGATATCCGGTGCACACAAAATCCGAGGTTCCACTGTATTTAAAACAAAATGCATAGAGTGGAGTCAAATTTTAACTGCAAATGGACTTTTATTAGTATGTACTGTTTAACAGAATTTTCAGCAAAATCATCCAGTTATAAAAATCATCCAATTATAAAAATTTTAGATATGCCCATTGTGTTTTCAGGGAACTACAGTGGACCCCCGCTTAACGATCACCTCCCAATGCAACCAATTATGTAAGTATTTATGTAAGTGAGTTTGTACATGTATGTTTGGGGGTCTGAAATGGACTAATCTACTTCACAATATTCCTTATGGGAACAAATTCAGTCAGTACTGGCACCTGAACATACTTCTGGAATGAAAAAATATCGTTAACTGGGGGTCCATTGTATTTTATAGTGGATTAATTCTTCTTTTTGACCCTATGGATTTAAGGGGGTATATTAAAAATATGTAATTCATTAAATGTCAGATGAAGCTTTGTTTTATAGTAGATTATCAGAAAGGTAAACAGAGTATTATACAGATTTTTAGGAGTTTACAAGTTTAAGTGCAGTGGTACCCCGAGTTTCGTACAGCTCTCAACTCGAACACTTATAAGTGCTTTTGTAAGTGTATTTTTGGGAGTCTGAAATGGACTAATCTAATTTAAATTATTCCTTATGGGAACAAATTTGTTCAGTAATGGCACTTGAACAGCCTTCTGGAACGAATTATAACCGAAACTCAGAGTACCACTGTACTATAAAGATAAATTAAGATGCATCTCTATAAATATCTTTAACCCCTTCAGGGTCCAAGGCCCAAATCTGAAGTGCATACCAGTGTCCAAGAATTTTCAAAAAAAAAATTTGTTATTTTTTCTTATGAAATGGTAGAGAATCTTTTTGTGAAGGTAATAAAACAAAAAGTACGAAATTTGATGGAAAACTGACGAAATTATGCTCTCGCGAATTTTGATGTGTCAGCGATATTTACGAATCGGCGATTTTGCCGACTTTGACTCCCATTTTAGGCCAATTACATTATTCCAGTCAACCAAATTCTTAGCTATTTCACTAGTATTACTTCTATTCTATCGATTGAGCACAAGAAATCGCCAAGTCAACTGTTTCAACTACAAATTAAAGTGATCGGAAATTGTTAATTTGGCCAATTTAACACACAGTTCAAAATATTCCAGTTTCAAAATAGGGTCCAGAATAAACAATGTAGGTATTCCTGGAACTAAACTAACATTTCCTCTGTTCATTAGTTACATTTTGAGGCTTTACAAATAAATTCCATTTTGATTTTTTATTCACATAATGAATTTTTATTCACACCAAAAAATAGAAGATTTACTGTTATGCAATACTGTAATAATTGTATAAATATCATCACCATATTTGTGAATGCATATTAGACCCACCAGCTGGCGTGTATTAGACGTGTGAGGTCGTTTGTTTACTCTTGAATATCGGCAAAAATTTAATATTTCTGCTACTTTGAGCTCAGTTTCAAACCATTTCCAGTGCTAAAACCAATAAAAATCATCTCTATTTCTGAAATATGTCTTCCATTCTATCAAATGAGACCAAGAAATAGCAAATACAACTATAAAAAACGTACGATAAAACACTACAAAGTCGCTGTTTTAATTGAAAAATCATGATTTCAGTTTTTTTTCTCTCATTATACACAGTGTGCTGCAGGATCTGTTTTATGTGGTGCACACATACCACATAGATATATTCTCTCATATCTAGGCCCAAATGTATCACTCACAGTTTATCAGAGTGAGCTGAGCTCATGACGTAGATCTACGGTTTGGACCCTGAACGTAAAGCCGTAGATCTATGGGACGGACCTTGAAAGGCTTAAATATATACATACAAAGAAAAACAAAAAATATGACCAGAATTTTTTTTTATCAGGATTTATCCAACTCCAAAAGGGGGTTTTGATTGATCCACGATAGAAAATTTGGGGTTGGTTATCAACATTTCCTATTTTTTTTTTTTTGGAAAACATGCATTTTATGAGAGATGTTAATGTGTGATCAAATATTTGCAAACTGAGGCGACAACTTTTATAATTTGTGGACTTTTTTATTAAAGATTCTTACAAGCCTATAAGCCAAAATTTATAAGATAAAACGGCAACAATTTTTAGATATGTCCATTGTTATTTTAAATTCCCCTACTAGATTTTCATAATCTAAACCTATATATGTTTAATTAACTATTAAAATGATAATGACCAGGCCATGGTGGCCTGGTCGGCAAAGCTCTCATTTCACATACCAAGTGTCTGTGGTTCAATTCCCGGCAAGGGTGGAAACATTGGGCATGTTGCTTTACACCCGTTGTCCCGTTCACCTATCAAGCAAATAGGTACCTGGGTGCTAGTCGACTGGTGTGGGTCGCATACTGGGGGACAAGATTGAGGACCCCAATGGAAATATGAGAGTCCCTCGATGATGCATTGCCTTTCTTGGGTTATCCTGAATGGCTAACCCTCCGGGGTTAAAAATCCAAATAAAATCTTATCTTAACTTACATAGTATGGATCTCTGATGATCAACTCCTTTTTAGGATCATATGATCCAAAGAGTTCAATCTGAGCCGTGCTTTTCTTGGGAGCACGAGATTTGATGTCAGAGATGTTCTCATGGTCCATCCCAAAAATGTAGTCATAGTGTGTGAAGTCTGCTTTAGTGAGCTGTTAAAAAAAAAAAAAAAAAACACTTAGAGAGGTTACACTTGCAAGGATTAGCATTTTACTTCAGAACATATAACAGTTTCTAATACCTCATTCAGCCAAATACTAACTGAAACCTTATATCACACATACATAAAATAGACACATACAACATAAAAAAAAAATTAGGATATGTTTTGTTCCTGGTAAGTGAAGCACATCCTAATGTGCCCTAACATTACATGTGTCTTTTATACGAATGGAATGTTATTAAAACATTGTATTATCAGCAGGATAAAAAAGACTTATAAAACATCACTAATTTAACCCTTAACCCTTTCAGGGTCCAAGGCCCAAATCTGGAGTCACGCACCAGTGTCCAAGAATTTAAAAAAAAAAAAATTGTTATTTTTTCTTATGAAATCGTAGAGAATCTTTTTGTGAAGGTAATAAAACAAAAAGTACGAAATTTGGTGGAAAATTTACGAAATTATGCTCTCGCGAATTTTGATGTGTCAGCGACATTTACGAATCGGCGATTTTGCCGACTTTGACTCCCATTTTAGGCCAATTACATTATTCCAATCAACCAAATTCTTAGCTATTTCACTAGTATTACTTCTATTCTATCGATTGAGCACAAGAAATCGCCAAGTCAACTGTTTCAACTACAAAATAAAGTGATCGGAAATTATTAATTTGACCAATTTAACACAAAGTTCAAAATATTCCAATTTCAAAATAGGGTCCAGAATAGACAATGTAGGCATTCCTGGCACTAAACTAACGTTTCCTCTGTTCATTAGTTATGTTTTGAGGCTTTACAAATAAATTCCATTTTGATTTTTTATTCACATAATGAATTTTTATTCACACCAAAAAAATAGAAGATTTACTGTTATGCAATACTGTAATAATTGTATAAATATCATCACCATAATTGTGAATGTATATTAGACCCACCAGCTGACGTGTATTAGACGTGTAAGGTCGTTTGTTTACTCTTGAATATCGGCAAAAATTTAACATTTCCGCTACTTTGAGCTCAGTTTCAAGCCATTTCCAGTGCTAAAACCAATCAAAATCATCTCTATTTCTGTAATATGTCTTCCATTCTATCAAATGAGACCACGAAATCGCAAATACAACTATAAAAAACATATGAAAAAACACTGCAAAGTTGCTGTTTTAATCAAAAAATCATGATTTAAGTTTTTTCTCTCATTATACACAGTGTGCTGCAGGATCTGTTTTATGTGGTGCACACATACCACATAGATGTATTCTCTCATATCTAGGCCCAAATGTACCACTCACAGTTTATCAGAGTGAGCTGAGCTCATGGCGTAGATCTACGGTTTGGACCTTGAACGTAAAGCCGTAGATCTACGGGACGGACCCTGAAAGGGTTAAACTGACCAAACGTAGATCTACGTTTTTTCAACATTTGAAAGTATGTAAAAAAGTAATTTTTTTTTTTACATTTGAAAATGTGTAAAAAAAAAATTTGATCTACTTTTTTTTTTTTTTGTTATATTTGAAAATATGTAAAATAACGTTTGGAGCATTTTGGAGCACTTTTGGAGCACTACGCATGTGAACGTAAATTTGTTTGGACAGTTTAATGGTTAACCATATTATGATATACCATTATTGGTCCAGCTGCCAATTAAAGTCAATCTGTACATAAAATAAAAAACATCAGTCTTGCCTGTGAGTGGTTTCAAGGCATTTGACTCTCTCACAACCCAGCCTGAAGCCCGACAACCTTGGTGATCGGGCAATTACTACTCAAACTCCCATGCTCACGTAGCCATCATAAGATGGATAATCAAAAGATCCTCCTGCAGGAAGTGGTTCATCAACCCCTTTGTTTTAATAATAATATTCTTATGCTTGTGGCAAGAAAATTTAAGTCACGAACTTCAGAGGTTGTCACACTTGACTGAGCTTGTGACCCCAATTTTTCACTAGAATCATTGTACACCTCCTGTATTACACACTCTCAAAAGCTACAAATTTAGTGTACAGATTAGGGACCTGGATTATGACTACATTAATTTTCATTGATTGGCAGAGAGCATGCATAGTTCCTTTGTATAAAGGCAAAGGGGATAAAAGAGAGTGCAAAAATTATAGGGGGATAAGTCTGTTGAGTATACCTGGTAAAGTGTATGGTAGAGTTATTATTGAAAGAATTAAGAGTAAGACGGAGAATAGGATAGCATATGAACAAGGAGGCTTTAGGAAAGGTAGGGGGTGTGTGGACCAGGTGTTTACAGTGAAACATATAAGTGAACAGTATTTAGATAAGGTTAAAGAGGTCTTTGTGGCATTTATGGATTTGGAAAAGGCATATGACAGGGTGGATAGGGGGGCAATGTGGCAGATGTTGCAAGTGTATGGTGTAGGAGGTAGGTTACTGAAAGCAGTGAAGAGTTTTTACGAGGATAGTGAGGCTCAACAACATGTCAAATCATAAAAATCACTTCCCTCCACTCACTCCTATGTAACACATTCACATGGGCCTGTTGGATTCCCAAGCCCCTTGCATAAAAAATCTTTACCCCCTCCATCCAACCTTTCTTAGGACAACCCTTACTCCTCCTTATTTCCACCTAAGATTTACACACCCTCCTGGTCATCCTATTTTGACCCATCTTTCAATGTCCAAGGCACCTCAACCCTCTCCCCTCCCCTTCAGCCCTGAATAATATTTTTGGCAGCCCAACACCTAATCTCCAAAGTATGAATTCTCTGCATAATTAGCACACCACACTGCAAGTGCAGCATGGACACTTAGAAAAATGAACAGTTAAAATTCCTAGTAAATAAATTATGTTCTCAGGTATAAATTTTACAACTTTCAGTGACATGTAATACAAAAAACTAATAACTAAATATAATGATTATTTTTAATTAACAAAGCTCAGTACAATATACTAAAGCAGTAGTGCTCATATGGAGAAACCAATACAAAACAGTAAAGGGTATTTACAAAGAGATAGGGTAGTACATAAATGATCTGAGTTCAGTTCTTAAACACCGTATTAAAATCATTGCCTTCTTTTGCTCAGTTTTGAAATTCACTAAGAATGTTGCACTTTTTCAGTTCATCTGTTAAGTTATTCTACATCTTTGGTCCTTTAATTTGCATAGTATTCTGCAATGTTCAATCAAGAAACTATAGTCTTAAAATCCTGCACTCTAGACAGAATACAGTACAGTGGACCCCCGGTTAACGAACTTTTTTCATTCCAGTAGTATGTTCAGGTGCCAGTACTGACCGAATTTTTTCCCATAAGGAATATTGTGAAGTAGATTAGTCCATTTCAGACCCCCAAACATACACGTACAAACGCACTTACATAAATACACTTACATAATTGGTCGCATTTGGAGGTGATTGTTAAGCGGGGGTCCACTGTATTTTCTTTGTACTCTTATTTTTACCTTGTGTGTTTTTAATACAGTTCTGTACCTTTTAATTCTGTAATGTTCACTTTTCAATTTTCCTTGGGAAAACTGGGTTAGAATCCTTTTTTCATAGCCATTTATGCAGTACATAGTCAGTTTTTATGGCTAAACAAAGGGGGCTGTTTACCTTTTTTCTGCATGCAATTACCAAAAAAATTAATTCTGAGGTTAGGTTTTCTCAATATCCTTGCATGTAGTACAGATGTTAATAAAGAACTGCGTGCTGAAGCGATCAATGAAAGAAAGTCGGATGTAATAGCACCAAGTGAAATCAACTTCCTCAACCCCAGATGAGGTACAAGCAGGCCCCGCTTACACAGTGGTTAGGTTCAGGGCTATGGCTGTAAAGTGAAACAGCTTTTTTTTTTTATCACTTAAAAAGACTGATAACATGTTTACCATATATTAAGTGAGAAATAGAGCTAGGCCTAAAATATGCATCAATCAATCAATCAAGTTTATTCTCTATAAGGATTACAATGCGAGGTTTACAGATTTTGTATATTGTGTGGTTTACATGTTTTAAAATACTATTTACATAGGGGGCCACTAGGACACCTAGCATGGCTAGGCATTTCGGGCAGACTTTGATTAATTCTAAACTTTAAATTATTACAGATTATGGTATTAAGGGTAAGTGACTACATTATAGTTTGTAAGTTTAGCAATGTGAATGCTTTTGTTTTTGGCACAATACATAGTGTCTATATTGGAGTATCATAGGCAAGCTTATGACAAGTTAGGGTTCATTATTTTAAGATTAAGATTTGTATTTGTGTTTATAGTCGATGGGTGAGTGAGTGTAAGTGTGAACCACCAGGTGGTTTACATGTAGTTAGTTGATGGGGTGTATCAGGGAGATAAGATGTTTTCTAACTGTAGTTTTGAAAGTGATGAATGTGTCTGCAGTTCTCGAGTTTTCAGGTAGGGTGTTCCAGATTTTAGGCCCTTTGACACATTGAATTTTTGTAAAGGTTTAGTTGGACACAGGGAATGTCATAGAGATGTTTGTGTCAAGTGTTATGCCTGTGGGTCCTGTCACAACTATCAAGAAAGCATTTTAGGTCAAGGTTAATATTGGAATTTAAGGTCCTGTAGATGTAGATTGCACAGTAGTAAGTGTGGATGTTCTGAACAGGGAGTAAGTTTAGATCTATGAAGAGGGGGGGGGTGCACACATTCAAAATAAAATTTTTATTTCTTTGATTGGTACAAAGAATGCCACATGCTGAGGCATTTCAGGCAGACTTAACCCAATACTTAGGCTATTTAAGTCTAGACAGGTGATGGGTGGAAGAATACAAATATTCAAAATTTTACTCTATTATTAATATGAGGTAGTACTTAAAATATTTTCATCCTTGGCTTATAGTAAGTGAATACATTTATTGTAGGAAATATGAATAAATAAAGAGTGGGTATAATTGAAAACCACTGCAGTAGCAAATGCTGTAAAGATAAGTGCTGTAAAGTAGGGTCCTCCTGTATACTTAACATTATCTTCGTTTAGCTCTGCAAAGGATTATGATGAACAGTGAGGATCTACAAACATTACTAGAGAGGATGAAGGCACTGCCTTACCAGTCTCAGTCACCGATGTTTAATATATGGCATAACTTGTAATCATGTACTTCTATACTATACTGAAATGCTGTATTTGGACATTTATGCAAGTTATTTTATTTTATTTTCAAGTCAGAAATAGTTATGACAGGCCACTCTCATCCCTGATCAGTCCATGATAATGATAAGTGTATTGTACTTGAAATTAACAATCTGATCTAACATTATCGAAAAAGAGTGAAATTTTGATTTTCCTTAAATGTTAAGTTCATCTCCCTCTTGATTTTATAGAAATTTTTTACAGTACTCTTAATATATACATATTGTAGTCAATACACAGTATATTCTTAGGAAGGATTAAGTAAGAGGGATTTCTCCCTTCACAGGTAAATCAGCTTCAACTTACTTGTCTAGCCTTATGAGTCATAGGTATTTTGTGTCCCTTCATGACACTAATAGCACGAGAGTCAGGTCCTAGGCCAACGTGCCATGGTCCTATGGCACCTGAATCCACTTCCCAATCCGTGATACCTCGTTCCTTCAGTACATGGTTAAGCACAGCTTCTGCTATGGGGGACCGGCAGATATTTCCTATTAAGGTAAAAAATAATTATGTAAATGTAATTTTCCCAACACACCCATGCCATTAATGCGTCACTGACAGCTTTTGTATGAGTGAATCATGGTTTTTAAATGCTGCAAAAAGGAATTAGAAATAGTGTTATGTCTTGTTCAAGATTAATGCATGACATGAATCTAGTTTAAAGAAGTAACTAGAATTCTAGGCTGCCGTTGGTATGAAAGAGTACAGTATACCATAAACCAGAAACTGCATTATTATTTATAATAACAAGATAATCAGGTTCGATCCAGATAATAAGGTTCGATGGGAGATAAAATGGTCTAATCCAAGGATTATGAGCCCTTCAGGAACATGAAATAAATAAAATAAAGGCGACTCCCGCCCAAGTGGCCACAGTTGGCAGCGTCATTCTTGTTTTGACAGAATTCTTTACATATCACAAAGGAAATTTATGAAGTCAGCTCACCCAGGCAGATAAATAACACCTTCTTTCTTGCAGGTCTACCTGCCATGCTTGACACCAAGCTGAAACAAGAATAAATGACAAATCTTGAAGAATCCCAGTTACCACCGAAGTTGACACATGAATGACAAAACTTCTAAGCTGAATATGCTACCTCAATGTAGGTTTACATGACAGTACTGGATACCCATATTACATATCTAGAATTATACTATTTATTATAACAACTTAATTATTTTACAGTGACTGTCCCAGAAGTTCCTGTTTTGCAAGTGACTTATTTTCCAAATGATCCTGACATCCCCGTGTTGGGGTTGAGGTCTACTGACTACACCAACTCCAATAACAAGAACAAAAAAGCCGTAATTCTCCTTTACTCTCAAATCAATATGTTGTTGTTGTTGGGGTTTATAGGGCCACTGACAGCAACGCTCTCAAATCAATACTTTAATCCCTAAAAAGTAGGGAACGAAGTAAACTCTGGGTGTTAATACACTGAGAGACGCACATTCGGTGTATATATGTGCTGTATTGTTTGAAGGAGAGGGAAGATTTAAAATGACCTTCACTTTAATTGTTTTATTTCTTTATTCATAACGCTGTTAGACTTATTATTATTGCTAATCTACTGTTGTGGGCCCCTCATGGAAGGTTCCTTGATGTTGGTGAGGGGCTCTTGATTTAGGGAATTGGAACTGTGCTCCAGTTCCCCGAATTAAGCCTGAATGCCTTCCACATCCCCCCCCCCGGGCGCTGTATAATCCTACGGGTTTAGCGCTTCCCCTTTGATTATAATAATAATAATAATACTGTTGTGGACCGTATCCTGATATAGAGCACCAAAAGACCCCAAGTGGTACACTGCATCTCCGTCTCAACTGAAGGACCCGGGTTCGAAACCAGGATTAGTGAAAACTTGGGGGATGTTTCCTTACACCTGTTTTCCCTGTTCACCCGTCGGTAAGTACCTGGGCATCAGCCGTTTGTTGTGGGTCACATTTTGGGAAAGAGGACCAGGAAACCTCAATGGAAATAAGCCACAAGATTTTGTTGGGTTATCCTAGGTTATTAATCCCACTAAGTTAATAATCGGAGTACAATCTGCCTTCAACAACGTCCCTGGTTTTCTTGCTTATGCCATTATAACTAATAAGTAAGACATCTCTAAGAAATGATCCCCTCAAGGGAGGTTCCTTGATGCTGGTGAGGGGCTCTTGATTTATGGAATTGGATATGTGCTCCAGTTCCCCGAATTGAGCTTGAATGCCTTCCACCCCCCACAGGCGCTGCATAATCCCTACAGGTTTAGCGCTCCCCACAATCTAAAAAAGATGTCTCACTGCACAATGAGTCTTCTAATAGTAATTATTAATTGTCACACTATGGTATTAGAGGGCACTCCCTCAACTACCTCAAGTCTTACCTCAGCAACAGAAGCCAATATGTGTACGCAAATGGGGCAAGCTCTTCCGCACAACCAATTACAGTTGGTGTCCCACAGGGAAGTGTCCTTGGCCCTCTTCTCTTTCTCCTATACATAAATGACCTACCAAATGCTTCGCAATTACTCAAACCCACACTTTTTGCAGATGACACTACATACGTCTTCTCTCACCCGAGCCCAGTCACGCTAGCCAATACTGTAAACACCGAATTACAGAAAATATCTACCTGGATGAGGACTAACAAACTTACACTAAACACTGACAAAACCTACTTCATTCAGTTTGGTAACAGAGCTACAGATGTACCTCTTAACATAACGATAAACGGATCACCTATCACAAAGCTAACAGAGGGAAAATTCTTAGGAATCCACCTCGATAATAGACTCAAATTTCATACACATGTACAACAAATTTCTAAGAAAATTTCCAAGACTGTAGGCATACTATCGAAGATACGGTACTATGTTCCACAGTCAGCCCTCCTGGCCCTTTATCACTCTCTTATTTACCCCTATCTCACCTATGGAATTTGTGCATGGGGCTCAACAACAATTAACCATCTCAGACCACTAATTACCCAACAAAAGGCTGCAGTTAGAATGATAACAAATTCTCACTACAGGCAACACACTCCACCAATATTCAAAACACTCAACCTACTCACCATACAAAACATCCATACTTATTATTGCACCTATTACATACATAGAACACTTAACTCTGATATTAACCCTCCCCTCAAACATCTCCTTGCCAACCTCAACAGAACACATGACCATAACACAAGGCACAGATCACTCTTTGATGTTCCTCGTGTCCATCTCACGCTATGCAAAAACTCAATGCACATAAAAGGCCCTAAAATCTGGAATTCATTACCTGTAAATATAAAAGAAACACTACCTGTTTACAAATTCAAGTCTCTTCTCAAAGTTCACTTACTCACTCAAAACCAAATAAATACTGAATAACTGAACCTTATAAATTGTATATCCAAAATGTTACTCACAATTATATCACATAAATGTTAAACCTAGGACCCAATCTAACTTTGTTGTTTTTTTTTAAATACACTACCAAACAGAATACTCCATTCTACTCAATGAACAGCAATGCATGCAACCATATGACCTGTCTTTGTAATACTCATTTGTGCTTTATAGTTATCTGTTTACAATAATGTCTTATCACTGATTTCATCATTGCTTAGTTAATCTTAAGTTAATTTTAAGCCAGCCCGTAATGCTATGCATATAAGTGGCTTTGGCATGCTGCTCTTACCTGTATTTTTTTTTTTTGTACCTCTGTATGTATGCTTAAATTTCTAAATAAATAAATAAATAAATAAATAAAGTGAATTAATGTGACACTAAAGAAAGTTTTTATGCTATATTTAAGGATAGACTGTATACTTTATACATGTCTTCAGATAAATAAATGTAATATTTTTAGTTATATAATGATTGTGATATGTTTAAGGTAAATAAATCTAAAGCGAAACCCGGGTATTTCAGATGATCATCTAATCAGGTAATCAGCTCAGGTTTGATTCTCGGGCTGGGCGAGATATATTGTCACATTGATTTACATCTGTTAGCTATGCTCACTTACCAGAATATAGGTATCTTATCTTATCTGGGGGCTAGTCGATTGTTTTTAAGTCACAACCTAGGGAAATAAGGTATACCTTAGGTAGGGCTGGACTTTCACATAAGTTGGCTCAGGTAGGATAATATTTCTTAATCAACAGATATGAAACTGTTGTGTTGTGTTGAGTTGCAAGCGCGCAACAGCCAGAGATAAGTTATGGGTGTTGTTACACTAGCTGAAGATTGTGTTGCTCTCGTGTCTCCCTCTGTTTGATTATATATATCATGTTCATTTAAATGATGTTTTCGTTGACTGGTTTAAGCGAACTTTACAGACATGCTCTACAGATGTAAATTAAACAAATTAATTTAAGGTTGCGATAACGTACCCCGAGATAAGATTAGTGGACAGTCCTAGTGTTCCCTCAAGTCTTAGTATTATCCACACTGCGTTCTGTATTGTAAGTGTTAGTGAAGGGCTTTCAAATGCTTGATATGCTAGAAAGATTCATGTCATCATGCAGTGGAAAAATAATATTGATTAATGTGTTATAGAAAGGAAAAAGTTCATTCGAAACACACAGGGCTTTGTTTAAAATGCTGAAAGACTAAACAAAAACATATTCTCAGTAGTAATAAGACGTCGTCTCAACCACTATCAAAACTGAAACATAATCCAGTTCGTCATCACTTTCAACAGGTCTCAAAACAACTTATGTCTAAGGTAATTTAATTTTAAACTGAGTGACAAGACAGCATCAGAGTGAAACTCTGTCTGTTGATCAAACCATCCTGCTTGTTTGCAATCGTGTCATTACGATTTCTTAAGTCATGTTGACGGCAGTGAAGGGACTTGAGCTAGAGTTCGTCACGGCCACGCTAGCTGGAGATTCGTCTGTAAAAACTTGCATTTGTGGTCACAGAGGTGCCTGTGCTGACCTTCCTATGGTGTAGAAATATACCTAGTTGGATGAATCTTATTGTGGCTAGCTGGTCTAGTGGCTAACGCGACGGGCTGGAGTTTTGAGACTCTATGACCGCGGGTTCAATCCCGGCCGGGGGTATGGTTTATTTGCAATCGTGTCATTACGATTTCTTAAGTCAAGTCCTGTCTGTTGATGTTTATGTATAAAACTTCATTTTCATAATGTCTAAATTTGTTAAGTCCACTATTAATCGTAATAATAATAGTAATAATAATCTTTACATTTGATGGGTTTCAAGTTTGTTTTTACTTACGTAGCAGCGCTAAGTTTTGATTGTAATAATAATTTGCAGCTTGGCCCTGGGCCAGGCTTGTCTGGTGCTTGCATGATCAACCAGGATGTTGCTGCTGGTGGCTCGCTGGCACGTATATCCATCATAGCCTGACTGATTTATCACTTAGGGGAGGTACTTGTCGAGTTTTCTCTTGAAGACTTCTACACTTGCTTCGGCAGTGTTCCTGATAGGTTCTTGTAAGACATTAGTTTGGGCACATGAATGCTATTACAAGGTTTTCTTATTGTGCCTACGGTGACCCTGCTTGTTGCTGGGTTTATTAAAAAAAAATTAACCAATATCTCTCACTCCAATGTGTTATGGCAGAATACAGATTCGGGACTAAGTTCTCAAGTAATTTCCACAAACATATTATCATGTATCTCTTTCACCTCCACTCCAGTCAGCACATAGTTTGGACTTTCAGGCATTCCCAGTGATTTATATACTTAATTGGTTCTATGAGGGCTGTAAATGATTTTTGTCTGTTCCAGCCCTGATATATTTCTTGCCCTGAATGGAACCTTCAACAACGAACACTCTAAGCGAAAGAGCATAAGCTATTTGATTATACCTGGAAAGGGTTTTGGGGGTCAACGCCCCTGCGGCCCGGTCTGAGACCAGGACTCGTGGTGGATCAGGGTCTGATCAGCCAGGCTGTTACTGCTAGCCACACGCAAACTAACGTACGAGCCACAGCCCAGCTGGTCAAGTACTGACTTTAGGTGCCTATCCAGCGCCTTCTTGAAGACAGCCAGGGGTCTAACGAACGAACGAAAGTTCAGGTAAGATCCCAAATGGGATGAGCGGGGAAGACGGGACAGACGAAGAATAGTGCTGGAGAGGAGTGTTCTTAGTCGTAGAAATAGAGCCAGGGCTTAACCCAGCAGCGAAGGCGATCGTGGGACAGATATTGAGAAGAGAAATTCAGGCTCTTCTGTTAGGACTCCAGTGGGGTGAGCGAGGAGGAAGGGACATGCGACATTTAGGGCTAGAGAGGAGTGTAGAACTGGGCCATGTCTTAACCCAAAAGCTAAGGCGAACGTGGGTCAGAGAATGGTACCTGTCATAGAAGGTACCTGTCAGTGAATCCACGGTTATTTGTAAATAGGGTTTGGAGCAGGATCATGCAAGGAGCAGAAAAGGTTGTGTTGGTTTGTGGGTCTGCGAATGTCTTCATCAAGGAGAGTGGTCCAGTAGTCATGTCGTGTCTCAAGTTTGTCTATCTGTCTGTCACTGAGCGTCTTCCAGTACAGATTCAGCACAGGGATGTCTAATTGCGCATGGAGAGACTCGCTTGTGGCGAAGTCTTCCCACCTGACATCAAGCACCCAGCGCAGCGCCTTGTTCTGGACACGCTGCAGTTTAAGTAAGTTTGTTTTAGCTGCAAGAGAAAGGGCTAGAGGAGAGTAAGTTATTAGAGGACGTATTAGGGATTTATAGAGGTGTAGTTTGGTGCGTTGAGAGGCATGTTTCAGCTTGTAGAGGCCCGCAAGGGCCTTACTAGTTATTGCATGCCTTGAGTGAATGTGTCCGTGTAAACGAAGAAGGTAGTCAAGATTAACGCCAAGGACAGTGACAGATTGTGTGATGGGGATGTAAGTGCGGGTGTCAGCTGTTCTGAGCTCGACAGGTAATGGATGATCACGTTTCCTGTAGTTAAAATATGTAATGCTGGATTTAGCTGCATTGGTTTTGATCCTCCATTTTTGTTCCCAGATGGCTATCCTGTCGACCTCATTTTGTGTTTTGTGTGTGAGTGTATCTATATTGGCATGAGTGATAAGTTGTGTAATGTCGTCTGCATAGGCTAGTGTGATGGAGTTGTGGTATACAGGTGTTGGAATGTCGTTAGTGTATAAAATGTAGAGGGTAGGGGAGAGGACAGATCCCTGGGGTACTCCGGCTTTTAGTGTGAAGTAGTCAGAGTAACAGCCTTGGAATTTGATTCTCATGGTACGGCCGTCTAGGAAGTTGCAGAGGAGTAATGATAGAGTCAGGAAGGTGTTTCAGGATAATATGGTTTAGGCCAGAAGCACCAGGAGCCTTGGGAGGAAGGTGTCTGAGGAGAGTTTTAATGTCTGTGTTGGTGAAAGGAGTGTCGAGTTCTTGGGAGGAGGTAAGAGAGTCTAGATGTATGTGGCTGTCTGGTGTTGTTTCTTGTGTGTGTGCAGTGTTCCAGTGTTCTATGTTCTGAATGTGTTGAATAACGTTAGGGTGAGGTGGATGAGCGTGGAAGATGTTCTCCCAGATGTGTTTGAAGATATTGGTAGCAGCCTGCGGGTCTGAGATGTGTGTGTTGTTGTGGGTGATGTGTTTGAATTTGTTGGTGGGAGTTGTGCCTCTGATTTTTTTGATAAAGTTCCAGAAGGCTTTAGTGTTTTTAATACGCTGCTTGTCTGCTTGCACCTGACACTTACTGTGTTGTCTCTCAGTGTACTCGTGGCGCCCTTGCTTTTCAGTGGGAGAATGTTGCATCTCCTGCCGAATCTTTTGCTTTTATACGGAGTGATTTTCGTGTGCATGTTTGCTACCAATCCCTCTAGCATTTTCCAAGTGTATATTATCATGTATCTTACTCGCCTGCATTCCAGGGAATACAAATCAAGGTACTTCAACCGTTCCCAGTAATTTAGGTGCTTTATCGTACTTATGTGTGCCGTGAAAGTTCTTTATACACTCTCCAAGTCAGCGATTTCGTCTGCTTTGCAGGGGGCAGTTAGTGTACAGCAGTATTCCAGCCTAGAGAGAACAAGCATCCCTAGTTTTGAAGGTTCTCATTATCCATCCTATAATTTTTCTAGCAGATGCGGTAGATACATTGTTGTGGTCTTTGAAGGTGAGATCCTCTGACATTATCACTCCCAGGTCCTTCACAGTACTTTTTCGCTCTATTGTATGGTTAGAATTTGTTGTATACCCTGATACAGTTTTAATTTTCTCAAGTGTTCCATATCTGAATAGCTGAGATTTCTCTTCATTGAACTTTATATTGTTTTGAGTGGCCCTTATGAAGATTTGGTTGATGTCCGCTTGGAGTCTTGCGGTGTCTTCGATGGAGGACACCGTCATGGCAATTCGTGTGTCGTCTGGAAAGGAAAACACGGAGCTATTGCTTACCTCTGTCATCTCTGTCTATGTCAGATATGAGGATAAGGAATAGGATGAGAGCAAGTACTGTGCCTTGCGGAATAGAGCTTTTCATATTAGCTGCCTCAGACTTTACTCTGTTTACTATTACTCTTTGTGTTCTATTTGTTAACAAGTTATAGATCCATCTACCAACTTTTCCTGTTATTCCTTTATCCCGCATTTTGTGCGCTATTACACCGTGGTCGCACTTGTCGAAGGCTTTTGCGAAGTCTCTGTATACTATATCTGCATTTTGTTTATCCTCTAGCGTCCAGGACTTTGTCATAGTGGTCCAGTAGCTGGGACAGGCAGGAGCGACCTGCTCTAAACCCGTGTTGCCCTGGGTTGTGTAACTGATGGATATCTAGGTGGTTGGCGATCTTGCTTCTTAGAACCCTTTCTAAGATTTTTATGATATGACATGTTAGTGCTATCGGTCTATAGTTTTTTTGCAATTGCTTAACTGCCACCTTTGTAGATAGGGCTATGTTTGTTGTTTTTAGCGAGTGTGGCACCACTGGCACTATTTCCCTTGTTTTGAAAGCTTTCATTATTCACCCTGTCCTTTTCCTGGCTGTTGTAATTTGTGGCTAGTGCTCTACAAAGGAGCTATGTCTGCATCATTCAGGCCTCTGGGATTTCACCTAAATCTAAGGTCTTTCTGCAAAGTACACCGAGTACTCGTGTTACTGTTATTTTACACTTCTTTATAAATAAGGAATTCCACGTTTCCGATCTAGGTGTTGCTTAAGTAAATCTTATTTTTTTGTGCAGCTATACTACCATTATCACTTTATCATCTCCATAACAACACTGAACACAAAGTATTCTCTCTACTGGACTATCATACAACCTTAATACTATCTTCACCTACAGTTTACAGAAGACCCGGGCCGGAAGTACTGGCAAATCCCTACAGTTTACATTATTTTACAGCCTTTCTAGTGAAGCCAAATTCACCGATAAAGCAAGTTAAAACGCACCCCTCAAAAATCCAATTGTTATGAACTTATAGCTGCTCCCAAATGTTCATTATTTTTCATTACCTAGGGACTGAAATTATGAATTTTGTAGACTATTAAACTAATTCCTCACGTGATACGTTTCTTGCAGAAGCGGACGTCGGTGTTGGTGTGGGTGTGTCGGTTGTGGGCGGTGAGTGTTTTGCAAGAAGGCATGGAGGTGTGGTCACGCTCCTGGCTTGTTGATAAGTTCAGGTCTCCCTATATGTGTCGCGTCTCAGTCAAGATCGACGAGTGGTGCATGGTGCCATCCCTCACCCACCCCATGGTAGGTCACACTCATCCCATAGTAAGTCACACCCATCTCATGGTAGGTCACACCCATCCCATGGTAGGTCACACCCATCCCATGGTAGATCACATTCATCCCATGGTAGATCACACCCATCCCATGGTATGTCACACCCATCCCATGGTAGGTCACACCCATCCTATGGTAGGTCATACCCATCCCATGGTAGTTTACATCCACCCTATGACAGATGGTAAGTCAAACCTACTGCGACCATTTGACATTTCAAATCATATGACATTATCATCCATCAAAGACACTGCAAGTCTCCAAGCGGACATAAATCAAATCTTTAAATGGGCCGCAGAAAACAATATGAAGGTCAATGTACACAAATTTCAATTACTCCGCTATGGAAAACTCGAGGAAATGAAAACTGTATCGGAGTATAAAACAAATTCCAACTACACAATAGAGCGAAAAACTAATGTGAAATACCTGGGAATGATAAAGTCAGAGGATCTCACTTTCAAAGATCACAACAATTTTCTACCACATCTGCTAGGAAAATGATAGGATGGATAATGGGAACCTTCAAAACTAGGGATGCCAAACCCATGATTCTTTTCAAATCACTTGTTCTCTCTAGGCTGGATTATTGCTGTACACTAACGGCTTCTTTCAAGACAGACAAAATTGCAAACCTGGAGAATATACAGAGAACTTTCACGGCATGTATAAGTGCGATAAAGCACCTAAATTACTGGGAACGGTTAAAGTCCCTTGATTTGTATTTCCTGGAACACAGGCGAGAAAGATACATGATGATATATATTTGGAAAACCCTAGAGGGACTAGTCTAAAATCTGCACACGAAAATCACTCCCCACGCAAGCAAAAGACTCGGCAGGATATGCAACATCCCCCCAATGAAAAGCAGGGGCGCCACGAGTACACTAAGAGACAACGCAATCAGTGTCAGGAGCCCAAGACTGTTCAACTGCCTCCCAGCATACATACCTGGAGTCTACCTCGAGGGTATTCTGGGGATCAATGCCCCCATGGCCTGGTCCATTAAGACAAAGGTCACAACGGCCAAGAGGATGACAGGGTGGGGAATGGTAACTTTCAAAACAAGGGAAATAATGCTAGTGGTGACACTTTTCAAATCACTAGTGCTCCCTCATTTGGAGTATTGTTCAGTGTTGACGGCCAATTCAGGGCTGGAGAAATATCAGAGTTGGAACAAATACAGAGATCGTTTACGGCCTGCAAAAAGCCAATAAAGTATTTAAATTACTGGGAACCCCTTAAAATCTTAATTATTTACTCGCTGGAGAGATGCATGATAATATATACCAGGAAAGTACTCGAAGGCCTGGTCCCAAATCTGCACACTGCCATAACAAAATACTGGAGCGAGAGATATGGTGGGGAAATGCAAAATAAACCCAGTGAAAAGTAAGGGTGCAGTGGACACAATAAGGAAACACTGCCGGAACAAGTGTAGAAGTCTTCAAGAGAAAATTGGACAAATATATTCACCAGGTGCCAGATCAACCAGACTGTGATGGACATGTGGGGCAGTGGACCTCCAACAGCAACAGCCTGGTTGACCAGGCTAGCACCAGACGAGGCTGGCCCATGGCTGGGCTCCGGGAGTAGAAAGACTCTTGAAACTTATCAGAGGTAAGGTAAAAGTGGATTTAGACAGTTATGTTGATTTTTTTTCCTCTGTTTTAATAAATACCAAGTCTCTTACTGACTGTGTGTTGCCCTTCCTTGATTATGTAACTTCAAATATGCTGATGCAGAGAAAACCGTCATTATGTTTATTTGCAGTTCCAGCCTCACAAGTTGCCGATTTATACAGTTCAAATAACTTTTTCCTTTTACAGAAAGGAAACTTACTATAACATGTGTGGTGTGTGCTTTTCAGATGCGTCGCTTGCCGGCATGGAAATGCGTGTATGACCCCTGGTGTGATGCGCTGGTATACATTGAGACCGCACCGCCCCTGATTACTCGTTTAACGGTACTGATGGTTGCCCTTGCTGTGTCCATTCTGCTGGTGTGGGCCCCAAGGCTTTTCGCCTACCGTCCCTCCCATCCCTACGTGCTCTGTGTTAGGGTGAGTGCTGTGGTGTGAACTTGACTCGAACATTAGTACATTATGGTGAAAACCCAGCTTAATTTCATGTTGATGCCTATCATTAACGAAACAGTATAAGACTTCTTAGTAATACAGTGGAACCTCGGTACTCGAACAGCTCCGTACTCGAACAATTCAGTACTCGAACTCTTTGTTCGGTAAAAAAAATCACTCGATAGTTGACCGTTTGCTCGGCATTCGACCAAACAAACACGACCTGCCAGAACATGTGCGTCAGTCTCACAGCTCAGTCCAAAACTCCGCTGAACTTCACTGTAAACTCTTTCATGTTTCTTCGCATTTTTGGGTGTTCCCGGACAGCGTAGTGTGAGGGTATTTATTAGACTCGGCTAACATTTTTACAGCTGAATTATATGCAATTCTCATTGCAGTTATCTGTATTGCATCTATGCCTACCTCGACATTTGTAGTAGTTTCAGACTCCTTAGTGCTTTGCAAACTATTCAAAAATTTGATTCACCTCATCCCCTAGTTCTTTGTATACAACTTTGGTTACACCGCATTTCCAGCATAAACAAAGATATTGTTTTCTCTTGGGTCCCTGGTCATGTTGTTCAGGGCAGTGAGCAAGCAGACTCTGCTGCATGGTATAAAAGGCATTCAGCATGAAGTTATAAATAAAGACAATAGATCAGGTCAGCAAACAAAGGGGGACAGCAGAGGTCAGCAAGGGACTAGCTCCCTTAAGGTTTACTATACTAATAGCAGGAGTGTAAGAAATAAGATAGATGAGCTAAGATTAATTGCAAGTGCAGGAAACATAGATATTATTGCTATAACAGAGACCTGGCTCAATCTGAAAGATAGAGAGATGCCCTCTGAATGTCACATACAAGGCTATAAATTACTCCACACTGACAGGGTCAACAGGAAGGGTGGTGGAGTAGCGATGTATGTCAGAGACAATTTAAATTGTTGTGTTAGACAAGATATAAAAGTAGAAGCGTCAGCCACTGAATCTGTTTGGTTACAGCTTCTCGAGGGCCGAGAAAAACTAATTTTGGGTGTGATTTACAGGGCCCCAAATCTTGAAAGGGAGTGCAGTAAACTTCTATGGGACGAAATTCGTAAGGCATCTACATACGAAAATGTTGTGGTAATGGGAGATTTCAACTATAGACAGATTGACTGGAGCAATTTGACAGGAAATTTAGAGTCAGGTGACTTTCTTGATACGATCCAGGATTGTTTTTTAAAACAGTTTGTGACAGAGCCAACTAGAGGAAATAACCTCCTTGACTTGGTTCTTGCCAGTAGGGAAACACTAATTAATAATCTTGAGGTTAATGATGAGCTTGGGGAAAGTGATCACAAATCACTCAGTTTTAATATATCATGGAATTCCCCTAATAATGGCAATCAAGTCTCCGTCCCTGACTTTCGCTTGGCTGATTTCATAGGACTGAAAAATTACTTAGGTGGGCTGAACTGGAATGACCTGACTAAGGGTCATGGTTGCCGATATGATGGTGATGGTTGCCGATATGATGCTTTCCAGGGCATAGTTCTAGCTGCTCAGTCAAATTATGTTCCAAATAGGGAAATCAGATCAAACAAAAATGATCCTAAATGGATGAACAATAGATTAAAATATCTGATTGGTCAAAAGAGAGGCATATATAGGCAAATCAAAAGAGGAGAGGGGCAATTAAGAAATCGATATATTCAGTTAAAGAGAGAAATAAAAAAAGGAATTAGAAAAGCAAAAAGAGATTATGAGGTTAAAGTTGCAAGAGAATCGAAGACTAACCCAAAAGGATTCTTTCAGGTATACAGAAGTAAGATCAGGGACAAGATAGGCCCACTCAAAAGTTCCCCGGGTCAGCTCACTGACAGTGATAAGGAAATGTGTAGAATTTTTAACACATACTTCCTCTCAGTTTTTACATAGGAGGATTACCAGCGATATTCAGTAATGATAAATTATGTAGAACAGGACGATAATAAACTGTGCACGATTAGGGTCACAAGTGACATGGTCCTTAGGCAAATAGATAAATTAAAACCTAACAAATCCCCAGGCCCTGATGAAACTGTATGCAAGGGTTCTAAAGGAATGTAAAGAGGAGCTTAGCACACCTTTGGCTAATCTTTTCAACATATCACTACAAACTGGCATGGTGCCAGATAAGTGGAAAATGGCAAATGTGATACCTATTTTCAAAGCAGGTGACAGGTCCTTAGCTTCGAACTATAGACCAATAAGCCTAACCTCCATAGTGGGAAAATTTATGGAATCAATAATTGCCGAGGCAGTTCGTAGCCACCTTGAAAAGCATAAATTAATCAACGAATCTCAGCATGGTTTTACAAAGGGGCGTTCCTGCCTTACGAATTTATTAACTTTTTTCACTAAGGTATTTGAGGAGGTAGATCATGGTAATGAATATGATATTGTGTATATGGACTTCAGTAAGGCTTTTGACAGGGTCCCACATCAGAGACTATTGAGGAAAATTAAGGCACATGGAATAGGAGAATTTTTTTCCTGGATAGAGGCATGGTTGACAAATAGGCAGCAGAGAGTTTTGCATAAATGGGGAGAAATCAGAGTGGGGAAGCGTCACGAGCGGTGTTCCACAGGGTCAGTGTTGGGCCCCCTGCTGTTCACAATCTACATAAACGACATAGATGAGGGCATAAAGAGCGACATCGGCAAGTTTGCCGATGACACCAAAATAGGCCGTCGAATTCATTCTGACGAGGACATTAGAGCACTCCAGGAAGATTTGAATAGACTGATGCAGTGGTCGGAGAAGTGGCAGATGCAGTTTAATATAGACAAATGCAAAGTTCTAAATGTTGGACAGGACAATAACCATGCCACATATAAACTAAATAATGTAGATCTTAATATTACAGATTGCGAAAAAGATTTAGGAGTTTTGGTTAGCAGTAATCTGAAACCAAGACAACAGTGCATAAGTGTTCGCAATAAAGCTAATAGAATCCTTGGCTTCATATCAAGAAGCATAAATAATAGGAGTCCTCAGGTTGTTCTTCAACTCTATACATCCTTGGTTAGGCCTCATTTAGATTATGCTGCACAGTTTTGGTCACCGTATTACAGAATGGATATAAATTCTCTGGAAAATGTACAAAGGAGGATGACAAAGTTGATCCCATGTATCAGAAACCTTCCCTATGAGGATAGACTAAGGGCCCTGAATCTGCACTCTCTAGAAAGACGTAGAATTAGGGGGGATATGATTGAGGTGTATAAATGGAAGACAGGAATAAATAAAGGGGATGTAAATAGTGTGCTGAAAATATCTAGCCTAGACAGGACTCGCAGCAATGGTTTTAAGTTGGAAAAATTTAGATTCAGGAAGGATATAGGAAAGTACTGGTTTGGTAATAGAGTTGTGGATGAGTGGAACAAACTCCCGAGTACAGTTATAGAGGCCAGAACGTTGTGTAGCTTTAAAAATAGGTTGGATAAATACATGAGTGGATGTGGGTGGGTGTGAGTTGGACCTGATAGCTTGTGCTACCAGGTCGGTTGCCGTGTTCCTCCCTTAAGTCAATGTGACCTGACCTGACTAGGTTGGGTGCATTGGCTTAAGCCGGTAGGAGACTTGGGCCTGCCTCGCATGGGCCAGTAGGCCTTCTGCAGTGTTCCTTCGTTCTTATGTTCTTATGTTCTTATTTAGATTTCTCGCTGGCCAGTGTCGAGTCTAGGTGTTAGGCAGGTATTCTGGTGTGTTCCATCTTCTGTAATTAAATGGTATGTGTTAATACCAAGCAAGCCTAATTACATAGAGTACTAGTCATGGGATTATGCAGGGTGAGTGCAGTGACAAAAATCAAAGGCTTACCATACCTGGAGTTTACCTGGAGAGAGTTCCGGGGGTCAACGCCCCCGCGGCCCGGTCTGTGACCTGGTGGATCAGAGCCTGATCAACCAGGCTGTTGCTGCTGGCTGCACGCAAACCAACGTACGAGCCACAGCCCGGCTGATCAGGAACTGACTTTAGGTGCTTGTCCATTGCCAGCTTGAAGACTGCCAGGGGTCTGTTGGTAATCCCCCTTATGTGTGCTGGGAGGCAGTTGAACAGTCTCGGGCCCCTGACACTTATTGTATGGTCTCTTAACGTGCTAGTGACACCCTTGCTTTTCATTGGGGGGATGGTGCATCGTCTGCCAAGTCTTTTGCTTTCGTAGTGAGTGATTTTCGTGTGCAAGTTCGGCTAGTCCCTCTAGGATTTTCCAGGTGTATATAATCATGTATCTCTCCCTCCTGCGTTCCAGGGAATACAGGTTTAGGAACCTCAAGCGCTCCCAATAATTGAGGTGTTTTATCTCCGTTATGCACGCCGTGAAAGTTCTCTGTACATTTTCTAGGTCGGCAATTTCACCTGCCTTGAAAGGTGCTGTTAGTGTGCAGCAATATTCCAGCCTAGATAGAACAAGTGACCTGAAGAGTGTCATCATGGGCTTGGCCTCCCTAGTTTTGAAGGTTCTCATTATCCATCCTGTCATTTTTCTAGCAGATGCGATTGATACAATGTTATGGTCCTTGAAGGTGAGATCCTCCGACATGATCACTCCCAGGTCTTTGACGTTGGTGTTTCGCTCTATTTTGTGGCCAGAATTTGTTTTGTACTCTGATGAAGATTTAATTTCCTCATGTTTACCATATCTGAGTAATTGAAATTTCTCATCGTTGAACTTCATATTGTTTTCTGCAGCCCACTGAAAGATTTGGTTGATGTCCGCCTGGAGCTTTGCAGTGTCTGCAATGGAAGACACTGTCATGCAGATTAGGGTGTCATCTGCAAAGGAAGACACGGTGCTGTGGCTGACATCCTTGTCTATGTCGGATATGAGGATGAGGAACAAGATGGGAGCGAGTACTGTGCCTTGTGGAACAGAGCTTTTCACCGTAGCTGCCTCGGACTTTACTCTGTTGACGACTACTCTCTGTGTTCTGTTAGTGAGGAAATTATAGATCCATC